CCCGCTGCCCCCCCCCGGCTTTTTGCTCTTTGCATAATTTTACCAATAGGGGCATTGTGGAGGTGGGCAAAGGATATTGTCTAAAGATAAAGTAGGATTAAATTAGTGACAGTGTGAAAATAGCAAAGATAAAACATGCCACCACTTAGTTTAGTAATTTGTATCCTATTGCTATACCTTCAGAGTATTCAGATATTTAATCCAGAAGTTATTTGGGAACCTAAATTATCTAAGTGATTATTTTAGTGCTCTACTGTATTTGTTATGTGAATACAGTTATTAAGTGAAACTTTAAAGTAAATTTACCAAAAATATAAAGAGAATATATGCATCACAAAAATGATTATTGAATATATCCATGTAGATAAACATACATTGTCCTATGTGTTATTGGGGCATACACAAGAAAGCAAAGAACAACTAGAAATTTTTGGACTGTTATAAAGTACTTATATTTTGTTTAAAAATTAAGATTTTTAAATTGCTTTCAATACTTTTTAAAAGGCTATACCCAATATGTAGATAAGTTAGACTTGAATGTAAAGTAAGGAAAACCTTTGCTTCAAATTCTTCTTAGTGCTTTGTCATTAATTTGAGAAAAGAACTTAAAAAAGATGATGTCTACTCTTATAATAAAAATATTTATTATAAAAATTATCACATTTCTCTGTACATAATTAAAGGCAAAAATACAATTTATACATTAATAATTTAAGTGGGTCTGAGCAGTATCTATTCAGTAGAATTCTAAAGCTCTTCTGTAAATTTTACAAATACCAATGTCATCTGTTTCTATTTTAGAGAACTCCATTTACACAGTTGATGTCATTGAGATAGCAACATTTCTTTTTCTCTAGTGTCTTAATGATAGTCCACGGTATTTGGGTTAATTAATTAATCAGCTGCTTTAACTCTTTGGTAAACATAAGTATTTACATGCAAAAATGTTTAAATTTCAGTAAAAACTGAATATTCAAATAATTTATAGCAAATAGTTTTGTGTAAGTAAGAAATGTATGAGCCAGAATCCCATCATCAAGAAAAATCCCTACCTAGGACTTCCGTGATGAAATTTGAAACAAATGGTTGATGCTTCTATGGCTACTACTAGAAGCACCACAACACTAGGCCGCGATAAAATGAAGTACAAATGTTAAGTTTAACACATAGATAGTATTGATTATTTTCCAATGCACCAAAGTCTCGTTTTTTCTATATCCCAGTTTAAACTTCAATTTGACACATGAGTTTATTATCTCATTACAACCTAGTATCTTGCAAAACTGAGAGAGCATTTTAAAAAAGTCATACTGCTTTGAAAGACACCAATTCATCCTTTTGCCAATATGAACCATTTCTTGAAATAATTTGTGGGGGATATAACAAAATGCCCTTCCTTCTTTCCTTCTTTCCTTCTTTCCTTCTATGTTGTTGTATGCCAGGGGCTGGGCTTTCTATGCGTTTTCATTTAATTCTCACAATAGCCTTCCTTCTTTCCTTCTTTCCTTCCTTCCTTCCTTCCTTCCTTCCTTCCTTCCTTCCTTCCTTCCTTCCTTCCTTCCTTCCTTCCTTCCTTCCCTTTTTCCTTCTTTTGTTTTTCACTCCTTCTCTAAGGAGTGCCCTGTCAATGTACATATTATACCTGAACTCCCCAAAAGTTCCATATGCATTGCAGCTGTCATTCATTAGCTCTTAATGCCACTGATTCAAAAGGAAAATATTCTGGCACAAAATCCTTTTCTTCCCAGGCTCCTTGTTAAAAACACTCCAAGAAGTATTTAAATTCTAATGTTCTTGGATTATTTGATACTTAGGAATTTTTTACACACATGTTAATTCTGGAGTGTAGAGTATAATTGAATACTTAAAAAAAACACACCTTTTTTAATCTAGAAAATGGATGTCTTTGGATTGCCACCACTTCAGGGTAGAGAACAGGCCTTCTCTCTGAATTAGGTTCCGAATGCATGATTTCTTT